AGGAACAATTTTTTTTTTGTTTCTTTGGTGCTCGTGTTTAAATTTCCTGAAGTTAGCTGAGTCATGGCACGTACTTAGTTGCTCTTGCTTCCTACTTCTTCAAGCTCAATATTGGCTCAGCTTGCTGCTCTGCTGGGGAAGCGACACTCGGCCACTTCAGTGCTTGAGTACAGTTGGTTGTTGTTCAGTCCTTGTTCAAGCAACAGAAAGATTCCGCTCCTGGACCTCCCTGCCTGCCACTGCCTCTCACGGGACTGATCCCACCTCCTGGCCAGCTTGCTGCCTTACGTAACTGGCCTGGTTCCAGACATCTACCCGTGCTTCGGGCTGTGGAGAAGGAGCTTAGCTCTGGATGTGTAACCAGCCGTGAAACGCGGGCAGCTTCATTTTTTCATTTTTCAAATCTCGGTGATACGTGTTTGGAAGTGTAAAAATAAGTTTGAATTCCAGAAAAGTGAGATTTTTGCATTCCAGAAGCAATTTCTCACGTAGTGTTTTCATTTTTAATTTGCTCGAATATTGTTGGCAAGAGCATGCTACTGCCCTGGGTAACCTGTTGAGCTGAAAATTATTTTAACTTCTCAGAGCTCCTGAAGAATCTCTGGTTTGCTCTAACAAGCTGTGATCTTTAGGAGTGTCCTACATTGGGATATTGCATGTTAATAGCATTGATTAACTGTCAGGCAGTGGGAACTGATGAGGAAATGCCCGTTGTACAATTAGATGGTGTTACTGAAGCCTGTGCCGTGCTGCTGGCTAGGGAGGTGAGCAGCCCCAGTAGCCGGTGGTAGCGGTATTAATGTGAGCTCCAGGTTTTTTCGCATGATTAAAACAGGCCATCTGTTCTTTGTTAAATGTTTACAAAAACAGCTTTTCTCTAAAAGATTTAAAGAGATGTGGGTCTAGTAAACACACCAATATTTTTGAGCACCTTTTTCACCTTATTTCAAACAATACCGAAAATAATTCTGCTGCAGTATCAAATGGGATTAATACCTCTTTGTGTTTAATCTTCACCGGTTTCTTTCCTGTGGAAGATTAAATTCTGTACTAACATACTCTAAATCATGGCTTTGTTATTACGGAAAGCAGCAGGAGAAGCTATTTCTGTGAGGTATGCAGATAAATTTTTCACTTGTTTGGTAAAAACTTGTAATATACATATTTTTCTAATTTTGTATATGGGAAGTGGGGTTCTTTCACTAGAAATTGTGACCCTGTAACTAGAGTTAATCCTTTGTAAATTTAAAGAAATAGAACTATTGGAAATAATTCCCTGTGGTTGGCTTAAACTAATATTTACTAGTGAAAGCCTATTCTTCTTCCTTTTCTGCCTTCTTTAGAAAGAGCAGACAACTGGTTTGGGGTAAGAAAATGCATCTTTCAAGCTGCTTCCAGTCTCCTCAGTAGATTTGTGCTGCTCCTACACAGCTTCACACTAGGGAGCAATGTGGGGTTGCTGGTTAGGGGTAAACCCTTTCAGCATATTGCAAAAGCATAGGCACAGACTTCCTAGAAAAATCAAGTTAATCAGACCCATTTCTTTGAAAGAGCGCTACAATTGAAAAGATCATGTATGAGTGAATTACCAAATGTGCCAAACCGCAAAGAGAGTGGCATGTGGCAAAAGTGATGTATTTTCAAGTAACGGGAAATATAACCAAAGCCTAATGAGGGCAGAGTGGCTTTTTGTAGTTTAATGTTTTGGGGGTTGTGAATGATATGAAACAACAAGGTAGTACTTTAATTTGTACGCTTGGTAATGCACATAACTTGGTTCTGTAAATAAAAGGCAGTAAGGGTTATTTTGTGTGTGTGTATATATATATATTTGTTTTGTGCGTGATGTTTAAGTCTGGTGTACAGTCTAAGTTGGTTTAGAGCCTGAGAATGACTCTTGTGGATAAGCTTTCCAAGGTAGTAAGCATCTGAATTTTCATAGGATGCCATCTTCCAGAGTGAGTTCCTGAGAATGAGTTGCACAGTGTGGAAACAGCCGCTGCCGTTCTCAGAGCTTTACCTTCTGCCCAGCCCTTCCATTAGAGCTACAAATGTCCAATCATGGAGGGCTGGCATTGCTGCTGGGGAGACGTGGAAAGCTGTCTGCCTTATGGTCAGGTTTTCTAATGGCTGGTGAAAGGTGGTGTTCAGACTTCTAAAGCAAACAAACAAACAAAAAACCCCACAAGTGTTATGAGACAGGATTATTTTTTGAAATTAGGTTTAAAAGGTAATGAGAGTATTCAAGCATGTGTAAAACTTCGTATTGATTTCAGTGACACAGTCATAGCAACCTTGAAAATCTTATAGAACTAAATTTACGTGGCATTACTGGATTTCTTGTGGTTTTTAAGGTCTGTTGGCTTGGCTGTTTCACATGCTTAAAAGGAAGAAAAATATTCTACCAATTCTGATTTGTTCTAGAAAGTTGTACCTTATAGATAAGCTTATAGATAGTTGTAAAAGTCTTTCTTAATCTAGCAACTATACGGTAGTGCTAAACACAGGATACTTGCTCAATACAAATTTTACAAATAATGGAAAGAAAACCTTAAGTTTTTATGTTAGACAGAGCAAGTGAGAAGTATTTAAAAACAGGACAGTATTGCGGTGGACTGCTCAGTGAAGACATGGATGAAACTTGCACTTGAGGTCTCTGAAAAATGTAGTAGGCATGAGCTATGAAATGGCAGATCATACAGAAATATATTGATGACGTTGGGAAAATGTAGGTTAAAAGTACTGCTCCAGAAACCTGTGGGTGAGCAGTACTTACAGGTGATCTGTGTAATATGTCTGACTACCTGAAATGAATGTTAGACAAATACAGGATGGCCTGAGGTACAGAGGAGACAGTTTTGTTGTGTGGCACAGAACAAACGGGAGGAGACATTCAATCCTGTTCAATCAACCAGATTAAAAACCAATTAGAAGGTTTAAAACTCTCTCTTCTATGTAATGTGTAATTGGACTGCAGAACTCAGGTGGTACCACTGACTTCCTGGCATCAGCGTTTTCTAGTTTCCAGCATGAAGATAGGTAAGCGTTGCGGTGACCGCAGATTTTCTGAGAAGAGGTGTTGGTTCATACCTCAGGATGCCTGACAGGAGACTGCCTTGAGGTGGAGCTGATTGATGTGGTGCTAATGCAATGGGTGCAGCAGGTTTGCATTACAGCTGAGTTTCCACTGCAACTAAGACCCTGTTGCACTAAAAAGTATCTTAATAAACAGGTGGACGAGAGAAACATGCAGCAGTCACCCTGGAAATGCTTAGTTAAGCCAAGGAGACCCAGATCTCGAGTCCGTCACTTGGGCCTTCCTTCTTGTCCTGGAGTCTCTTCCATGAAGAGCTGTAGCGTCCAGCTGGCACCGTTCAAACGTCTCCCAAACGGCAGTGCAGAGGTGTCTTCACTGCTTGACAGCCTTGCTCCTGCTGCTGCTGGGGTAGCTTCTGAGTGTATTCAGTGTGCAGCAGGTTTTTTTGCTACTGTGAAGAAATGCTGAAAATAGGACTGCACTGATTCAGTTTGTTTGCGTTCAGAAAGCTACAATAATGTATTTGGAAAAATACACAGGCACGTGTGTGACACTTTCTCATGTAATGATATTAAGAGTGTTATTTCCTGAATCTGAAGTGCATTGTGGGTTTTGGATCCAGGTGGCTAAAGCACATGTCTGGGTGTGCCCATCAGTTCTTCTTCTGCTCAGGGACTGGGTTTCTAGTCAGTCATTGGCACGCTTGCTGCTCCTAAGTAAGTGCAGTTTGAATAAAAAGCGGAGAAAAGGAAATGTGGATAACATTACAGACAGTTACCCAGGCACTGCTGTTCCTGGAGGTAAAATTCTGATTTGCTCTAAACCTCTTTTCTCCCCGGTTCATGGATCAAACATTTCCAATGGCTAGACTTCATGACCAGAGCTAGTGGGGAACTCTTTCACCTAGAATCATGGCAACTTAATTTTTAGGGAAGAGAAAAGGACGTGAAACAGACAAAGAGGGTGGGCAAATGGTCTGACCACATCTGCAGCTGCAGGAATGGCATCAGTATGGTGCCATGCTATCACTGTTCTTCTTGAAAAGTGCTGTCATCCTGCATTTATGACCGTGGGCAGGCAGTGAGAAGAAGCAAGTTAGAGCTTGGATACGCTGCGAAGTCGTGGTAGAGCTTGGATGGTTTTTCATTGTAGACTCATGGATCTTTGTGTAGAACAGAACCATTCAGAGGAAAAGAGTTGTGAATATATCCAATATGTTTAATCCAGGCACTTGGCGTTTGTGTAATTATCCATAGGCTTTCACGTACTTTTCAGTGTGGTGTAAACCCGATATACTCTGCAGACTTTGAAATAGGATGCTTTAGCAGGTTCACAAACACTTCAGGTAATTCTCTGTCCTGTCTGTAGCAGGAACAAATCCGTTTCAGATAGGGAGCTGTGGATCTTTGACACCAAATGTAACAGTATATTACATTTTAGAGGGGCTTAATCCTTCACATACTGATCAAAATACCTGCTCTCACAGCTGAACCAATGTAAACTGCACTGATTAATTTTATATAAATACAACCTTCCTTTTGCATGTCTAGAATAAAACTTAACTTTTTTTTTTTTCCTGAAGGACAAAATTCTAGTGCAACTGAATCATTTGTAACAAGTTATTAATTCTACTAACAACTATTTTGAAATATCTGAAATAACAATTGCTTTGCTTTTGCATCTAAATGTTGAAGACCCTAAATATTTTCTATACTTCCACTCTACATACAAGCTTTAGAATCATTTTACCCTTCCTATATCAAGAATTCCTGGTCATTTTGCTACTGTTGTAACTGCATAAAAGTTTGCTTTTTACTAGTTCACTGCACAGTATTTCAGATATGGTACTTGGTTAATCTTTTGCTTAGTATTTTCTCCCTCTGTAACCTCTTGCTCCAAAAGAGCAAAGTTTTAGAAATCAAAGTTGCAAATCTATAATTTTATTTCTGTTTGTCTCTCTCAGCATTCTCCATCGGAACCCTTTTTAGAGAAACCAGTGCCAGATATGACTCAGGTTAGTGGACCGAATACCCAGCTAGTGAAAAGCGATGATTATCTGCCATCAATTGAGCCGCAGCCCCAGCAAAAGAAGAAGAAAAAGAAAAACAATCACATTGCTGCAGAAGGTCCCAGTAAAGGTTTTGGTAAGGAAGACTTTCCTGGGGGACTTGACAGCCAGAATCTAAGCAGGAACTCAGTGGATTGCTCCCAAGAAGAGAAGAAGAAAAAGAAAAAGCCTAAGGCAAAAAAAGAACCGAAGGATCCTAAAGAACCCAAGGAGAAGAAGGAGCCCAAGACCCCCAAAGTCCCTAAGACGCCTAAAGAGCCAAAGGAAAAGAAAGCAAAAAGTACCACGCCAAAAGCCAAGACCAGCAAAAAGGCTAGGTAAGTCAAGAAACTTTGCTATGTGATCAGAGAAAAACAGCGTGTTGTTGAATTTTAAGAGCATCTGTGCTAAATGGCGTGGGTGGAAAGGAAATCTTGTGTTGTCGTTTGCCTTCTACCATCTACAACATCATGGTTTTGAGGAACTTGGGCACGTTTCTCTTGTTTGGCTTTCCTGTTTATGGCTTCACAGTTATTTTAAACAAGCTGGAGAGGCAGAAGGTTCATTTTTCTTTTCAAGGCATAAAAAATTACTGGATGTGTTAGATTTCAGAACTATCTCTTTCTCTTTGAATGTTGATCTGTCCTCGTGTGTGGTTTGTGTATTAATAAATTAAATTGTGTCAACATTAATGCAGGTTTGATCAAATCCAGAGATGAAGGCTTAGAGTAAAAAGGTCTGATGACATTTTTCTCTAAATAAAGCAGTTAGGTACTTTGCGTTGCTACAAGTCTTACAACCCTCACAGATACTATTTTATACTGACACAGCCTGTGGGCTATCAGCTCTGCTGTTAAAAAGGCATTTTTCTGTGGTTATTGATGTATCCTCACTCTAGGGATTATATTAATTTTGCTGTCTCATGTAAAGACAATTTTTCTAGCAGAAAATCTTTGTGGATAGACCAGATGCTTCAACCCTGTTTCTTAACTGTTCAGTCAGCGTCAAAAACTTTATCAGGATAGGCTTAAAACGCTGCAGAGTGGTATGAGAAAGAACAAACTGCCGTTACACATGGGTAAATACATCATAGATAATAACACAGATTCTTTCCTTACCCCTCAACTCCCTAAACACCATTATTATAAATGCCTACTTGAAAGAAAACTGAGAGGAAAAAGACATTAAAGCTCAATTTTTTTTCATTTGTACCTAGAATTTCTTACAACTGTTCTGAATTTGTTCCAAACATCTGAATCTGGTTTTCAAGATGTGGCTAGCATTATAAAATATAACTTCCAGATGGAAGCACAGCCAGACTTGGTTAATCCAAATCAGTTTGCAAAATCCATTTGTATTAGGGTTTAAAAATTGCAGTTAATGAATCAGTTTTGCATATTTTCTACAAGACTGACTATTGGTTTGGTTTGATACAGCTAGATGGCTAAATAAGGCATGAATAGTAAAACATTACTGTTCTTTTTGCCAAGAAAGAGAAGTTTCTATGTTAACGGAGGTGACATTGCCTGAAGAATTTACAAACACTGGCTTGTAACATCAAATGTTGTCCTGAGCGGGTTGTGTTAACTGCTCAGTAATCTACACTTGATTAGCCTACTGGATTGCAGGAGTTACTTGAGCTGTCTTCCAGACTGTCCTGAGAATGGGGTTTACAGACATAGCAATTCACAGCTTACAAAAACTCTTAAGCGATATATCTTCCAGTAGGTGTGTTTGAAACCTAAATACTGTACCGGATCAAATAACCTTTTTCTTCCATTTCCCTATACTCACATAGGTCTCAAGGCTGACCAGGGCATATTACACAGTATTGAGCATCTCCCAGCAATTCTCTCACCAAGAAGTAACAAAGCTTTTACTGCAGGACTTCTCAATTAGTGCGGCTTTACAAGGTCTTGATTACAGTGAAGCTCTGTTTAATACACAGTGGTTAAAAGGAGTCTGCCCCGCAAACATGCATTAGTTCCTGTGGCTGTGCTGGACTCAGACCTCGGAGCTGGTCTGTCCTGTCCACTCAGCCCTAATATATCTCCTTGTGCTCTTCTCTAAATCTTGGGACATGTCATGCATAGTAAAGGAGAAGTGTTTCCTTTGAAGGAACAAATCACTGCTTGCTTGGTTGTATTTGTAGGAGAGTCTTTACCTTCTTTCCCATGCAGCAGCTCTTGCCCCTGGCTGGCTTGGATGACTTGCAGTATTCTAGTAAGTGCTAAGCCCTGTTGTTTTACCTGTGAGAACCCTGTTTGGAGCAGCATTAAGAGCATTTCCTGTTCCTTAGGCTTACTCAGGAGTGTGGAGGAAGTCCTGCTTCTTCCCATAATGGGCTGGTGTCTCTCTTACCAAATGCTCTTTTGAAAACAAGGTGGTTCTCATTTTGTGGTCTTGTCAGCTTCAGTATCAAATGTCTTTGAAGAACACTCAGACTGTGGTGGGATGCTGTGCTGCCAAAGAATTTTAAATCAGTGAAAGAAATTTGCTTACTTTGGCAATATCACAGACAGGGGAACTTGTCCAGTGTCAGATCACTGAATCAAGTTTTTAAATAAATCAACAGTCCAAATATTTAATGGTCTGAGCCACAGTACTTCAGCAGCACTAACTCTAGGAAGGAAGTATTACAGTAGCTGAGATGAGTGAGATTAATGCCAGTTACTATAGATTATGGATGATGATGTAGATGTAAAATATTTTGATAAATGTGTCTGGCAAGCGTGTTCTACTAGTGCTTATATTGCTCAGTATTTTGCTTCTAAGCATTGAAAGGAGTAGTGTGATTTTTAGATTTCTAAATGCTGTGCAAAGCTGAAAGTTTTAATTCCTGAATAAGCTGATCAGTTTTAATAGAAGAGTTTTGCACTCATGTAAAATTCAGGTAAATAAAGTCAGACATAGGGAATGTATTTATTGAAGAGCAAAAGTTTTTTGCATAGAGCATACCAAGTCCTTGATAGCTAATTTTGATACAGGCTGTGTTAGTGTATACACATATATAAAAACTGGTATTTAAGTATCTTAACCATTTTGTAATTTAATACAGCTCATAATTTAACCCTGTTATTTCAGTTCCAATTGTGACTAACAGTATAATCCTTTTATTAAACAAACAACAAAAAACCAGTAACTACCCTTTATATCTCTTCTATCTTTAGTGTAAGTTGTGACAAATGAGCAGCCTGCCTCACTGAAATGCACCTTCCTATGAGGGACAGCAGTCAGATCGGAGAATGAAAGCAGATGATTAATTCCATGCTTGTTTGAATTGCATGTCCCGTGGCATCTTAAAAAGAAAGAAAACACCCAAATGAGCTGCTAGTATGTGGTACTGCGTACTTCATGAGTTTTGAAAGAAAGACCATACACATTCATGTTTTACTATTACACTTGTAATGAATATTAGTCCAATCCTGCCAGTACAGGCAGCCAAATACAGTGGTGGCTGGAAAAAAAACCCCAAATCTGTCGTGGACCAAACTAGTCAGGTTCAAAAGAAAAATGCAGGTATACCTAGGATCACAAATTAAGTGTTTTCATTAAATTGTTCGGATGCTGAGTATTATGTGAGCTCTTAATGTTACAGAGCTCGCTTCAGGCACGTGCAAAGCAGGCAGCCTTTTGCAAGAGAGATGGACAGGGAAAGGCAAGGAGTCCTTCTGAATTGCAAAGTCATGGCTCAGATGTCTGTTCCTCCTGCGCCTGTCCCTGGAGGAGAGGAGGACCACCTGTTTGAGAAGATCATGCTGCAGCACAGCTGATCTCTCCCACTGCTTCCTATGAAACCCTAGAGAGTGGCCACCGATCACGGTGGGAGAAACAGTAACCGTCTTGTGAGGGCCAAATGGCAGCTCTTTGCGGGAGCTCGTCCCTCCTCCCCTCTCCTCGAAGCAGGCGGTGTGTGCTTTGCAGGGCTGCTCCTAGCTGCTTCCTCCCTTCCCTCTGGCAGGGGAAACTCTTCCTCCTTCCCCCGTCTACAGCAGCAGCTGGGGATGCAGGGCAGGGCGAGCGGGTTGCTGCTCGCAAGGGGGGTGCTAAGCCAGCGCAGAATGACCTCTCTTAGAGGGAGGTGGAGAGGGACTTTGTTGGCAGACAGATTTCTGTTTGTTGTATCGGAAAGGGGATGGCTCCTGTCCGCGGAAGCGGGAAGAGGCGGCTGCGCGGGGGAGTGGTGTGGGCAGCAGGACGCAGCACCCTGGGGAGCTGGAGGACAGGAAGAGAAGTCCCGAGGCGGTGGTGGTGGTTTCCACTCCCAAGCTCGGATCATCCTGAGCAAGGCAGGAAGGGGGTGCCTGTGGGAAGGAACAGGAAATCGTGCGAGATTTCCATGTGCACGTCCACCGAGGCTGTTCGTGTTCACACCTGTCCTCATCTCCCTTTTGAACCACCCCAGCTGCCAGACCTTTGCCTTTACTGCAGGCAGGCCTGCTGGGCTTTGCTGGTACCAAAGCCTACTTCTTAGTAATTTGGCTGAGTTTTCAGGCTGTAAAAAAAACTTGTCCTATTGTTCTTCCTGCTTTCGTGACCTATAAAAACTGATTTTTTTTTTAAAGGTTTTGATTACACTAGGAGCTTTAAAAAAAAAAATTGTTTTCCATGGGTAGGGCTGTACAGAAAGCCTGACAGCTCTAACATTTTGAGAGGGTGGGATTTTATTAATAGTTTTGATGTTCCAATTATGAATTTGTCACAGGACAGTGTTCCCAAGTGGTAAAATAGGGATCAGTAGTCCATCTGACTTATTTTAGATATTTAAATTACACAAAAAAGCATCATCCAAATCCTGATAGCCATCATAAATTCCACTAACAAACAGATCTGTCAGTTACCCAGATCAGATGAAGTAGTTGCACCATGTGAACATACAGCCTGATTACTTCCCCTCTTAATCCTTCAAAGCATGCCGTGCTTTTGGGGGTATTTTAAAGTCAGATGGTTTGGCCCTGTAAGTTTCTGGAGTTTGACTTAGCTCTGTAGGTGGCTGCTTGACTAACTGATGCAAAACACCTTGTCGAAGTTTGGATACTTGTTCTCAAATTGTAATTGAAGCTTTCTTCTCAGTTGTGCTGTGTACTGTTTTCCTCCTCAGCCTGTTTTCCTTCACATTGTTTGCTCATCTGACCTTCTGCAGGTTGTCTTCCTAATGATCCCCTTTGAGTCAGGATGCTGTGGAGTCCTCGGGAATAAGAGGATGAAACCAGAAAGTGGTATTGGACAGTTAGATTGTAAAACACATAATCTGAAATGTCTGTGTTTGTACCACTTGAATAGGACTAGTTTTAACTGACAGTTTTAAAATACTTTAGTGTTTTGTGTGTGGCAAATA